AAAATTTGCCCCTCAAAATGCAGGAAATAGCATTTCAGGGGGTGAAGATTTCAACATTTTCCCACGGGAGCATGCCCCCACAGGCAAAGGTGCAACTAGAATTGTCACACCTTTGTAACTCAACATGATGTTATGTCAAACAAAATTGAGGTAGTGGAAAGAAAAATTCCAGGCTGGCTAGAACACTGTTGAAGGGCTGTTAGCTGGAGAGACAGTCCTGCCTGTTTAGCATTCTCCCAGTGGTAGCAGTTCTGTGTGTGTGTGGTAGACCATGTCAAAATAAATGGTGGAGAAGGGACAGACAGATATGAGGATTTTAGAAAAGGAATGTCCTGTCAACTCTCAGTATTGGTGAGTAAGCCCTGCAGTGCATCACAAGTATCAAAGAAGGTCTACAGTCGGGAAAGATTATTTTGGCAGTGTTTCGTAAGCTTACATCATCTTGGCACTAGAGGCTGCAGTCACTGAGAAACTGCTGACTGGCAATTTGGCAAATGGCTCGACAGATCACTCAATGAATTTCATAGAAAAAAAACAAATTTTTTAACTTTTGTGTTGTTTTGTTGTCTTTTGAATCACAGTTATTACAGATCTTGCATCATAAATTCATATACCTGTTATGAAATCAAGGGGAACACAAATCCAATTTTGGTTGCTGTAGGGTCGTTCAGCGATTTATGTCTAGTGGTTTTGGGGGTCTTGCTGTGCTTAGTTATCATCATGCTATTGTATTGGTTGGTCTAGATCTTCGACAAACTGGTTAAGTAAGGGCTTCCACAATTGTGAAACCTATACTAATATTAATAATGGTCATCATGTGTGTGTTTGGTAGGGATTGGAATATGAAAATGTATTTGGAAAATATTTGGAAACAAAACCTAAAACAGTGTTTTACATACAACTTCTGAGCCATTATGATAACTTATGAACTTTATTTCTACATAATCGATACTTTACAACACAACTTGGCAAAGCACCATATATGCCCCCCGCAGCAAGTGAAGATGAGTGAGTAGGTACTTTACTGCTCACGCAGGTATGGAAAAGTTTATCTCTGTGTTGTGTTAGTATGCACAGCAGCAAAAGACGACCATACAGTTCAGAGGCAGCAGTACAATCACGGCTTTTGTGGAAAGACCTCCCCGGGCAGTCCAGTCCAAATCAAGTGGAAACTGTTGCAGAGGTCGACTCAAGGTCGTTTAGGGGTGAGTGAGTGGCCAGGAAGAATTCCGTCCATGTCTTGAGTTGATTTGAGGCACTTAGCCGCGGTAACTCGCTGTAAAAGCCGGGGAGGTGCTTGAAAAACGGTGGGTGCATTAGTCATGCCCGAGAGGACCCCTGGTCACAATAGTTACTGCCGTACGTGTACGTGTGCACTTTCTGTCAACAAGTGCAGAAATTCTCACTGGATATGGTAAACATCACGGCCACTCCTGCAATGAAAATCAGCAGCCTATATAGTAAGTACATGGTACTGAACAGGAGATCGAGAAAGTTGATCTATGAATGTCTAATATGCAATCGAAACTGAGTAAGAAGCTGCTTAAAATTGTGAGAAGGAGATACGAGAGTTTTATTTTCAATAAATGGTGAGTTTTATGCCAACAAGTTCAGCATTTGCGTCAGACCTGGTGAACCTGGCCATCACAGGGCACACATTGCTTCTCCTGTACCATTTCCTCCAGCAATGAAAATGCTATCATGATGGTCCATATCTGAATCTGTATTCCTCTCAGTAGTGGCTGGCTATATTACCGGCACATGAAATATGTAATAGCTAAGCCTTGCACAGCATAGCAAGATTAAAGTATAATATAATGAGTAAGCTGCAATATAGTGTTTGATGCAAAGTTCATTCCCCAATAGGTGGGAAAAGTTAGTTTTACAACCCTGGGTGGCACTCATTCCAAGAGCATAAATTAGATTTTTAGTGGCTGTTTCTTGTTCTTTACTGGGCTTGACTAAAGACAATATGGTATTTCATATTTAGATGACTGTTTATAACAGTAAAGGAAAAATTTTTTAAAGATGTAACAGTTTTAAACGTGCAGTAACGGTTTTAAGCATGCAGTAACAGTTTTAAATGTGCAGCCCGCAAGGCCAGGCCTACAACTAGTACTAGCAATACGCACACCCACTGGTGCTCTGGTGCTCAATGTGTGGGAGAGGTTTCCTGGCCTCCATTGGCCTCATCATCAGCCATGTCTGGACCCATCAGCCCAGACAGTGATGAGCCAAGGTCATTGGTCATCCTCAACAACAAGGGATGAACAAGAGAAAGAAAAGAGACTGTTTATAATGTTGTTTTCTTTTTTTGTTCTTTGATCTTGTTGTGTCAATCTGACAAGGGGTGACCTTTCTGTGTCCCTATGTTAACAGTTGTACATCTCACAGTAATCTCCAAGATCTTAAAGAAGATTCTTGCCCAGCAGTTACAATTTTGCCATGGGAAGATCCCTGCTCAGAGATTACATTTTAGATGACATAGAAGATCCCTGCTGACTGTATAGGCCTCAGGTATCAGTTCTGGCTGTTGTGTAACATTGAAGCTCACAATGTCAACAGACATATTGATGAAAAGAGCCCAATGTCGCATATCTTAAAGTATACATTTTAATTTGAGCCACTTCTCTTTTGATATTATGCTTTAGGACACACCGTTTGATTTGTTGGTTCTCAGACTCCTGCAGGAAATCAATGAAGTGGGTAATAGGTGGAAAAAAAGCAGGCACAGGCATTCTTTGATAGCTCAAAATACTACATTGTACATAATACAAAGTACTAAAACAATGTAGTACATGTATCGTTAAACATACTAAGTTGGTTTTTGATACCCTATGTATACCTGGATACAGACAATGAATTTTGAACTTTCAATCAAATCACTGCATTGATAGATGGAAAAACTGCTACAGTAAAAACTAGGAAGACAAGGACTTTCTTCAACCACCCCCATGAAACTCCTTCCTCTTCGCCCCCGCCGTTCTGCTTCGCCCCCGCCCCGTTCTGCTTCGCCCCCGCAAAAAATCTGCTTCGCCCCCGTCGTTCCTCTACGCCCCCGGCGCAATTCTGCTTTGCCCCCGTCCTTCTGCTTAGCCCCCAATGGCGGCACAGCTAAGTACTGGCGGGAAATTTCACTCACGGCTGTACGTAAGAACCACTGACGGGCCGTGAGGTAGGGGTAAACTTTTGAATGGGAAGGATTTGTGCAACGCCACTTGGCAGAAAGGTGGTCCAGAATGTTTGTCGGAGCATGGGCTACTTTAAATTTGGCGGCACAGCCTTTATTGTTATTTTGCAGACGATTTTCGTGTCGACTGTGAGCTGTGCCGCCATTGGGGGCTAAGCAGAAGGACGGGGGCAAAGCAGAATTGCGCCGGGGGCGTAGAGGAACGACGGGGGCGAAGCAGATTTTTTGCGGGGGCGAAGCAGAACGGGGCGGGGGCGAAGCAGAACGGCGGGGGCGAAGAGGAAGGAGTTTCATGGGGGTGTCAACTGTTTGTGCCACAATATGAGCATTTGGGAGTTGATTCAAAACCTTTATGTTACAAGTAAATAAAAAAAAATGAAGTGGGCAAGTCCAAGAATGTAGAAATTAAATTGGTGTTGTCTAAGCCTTAAAGATCTACCTGAAGAAAAGCACAGCAGGCAAGGCAGGAATATGGAGACTGGCCAAATGTATCAAGATCTGAAGCGACTTGGGAAGGATTGGGACAGTTGGCACTTAGCTGAAATCTGCATGAGCCTGTCTAGCACTAGATGTGCTGGCAGGTGCCATTAATTTTTCACCACCACTTTACAACACCTCCACAGTAATTAATCCCAGAGGATTTAGCCTGACTACATATACTGTAATTCATTTTATGTTCGCAAATGTTCGCGGTGTGAGAAAAATGGACATGTTCCTGGAACTAATGTTTGCGGTGGCAGCAGGTGCAGAAAAAAAAGCTGGCAAATACGTGCTAAGTACAAGTTTGCGGTACAGAAGTGATCAGGAAAATCATGAACACAAAAGTACCGCAAAAAATCGTGAATTACATTTTAATGCTTCTAAGTTCTAGCAGCCCGTCCACTGGTCAGGCCCTAAGAAGCTTCATGACCAATGCAACACCTCTGAGTCAGGAGAAATGGGAACATCTTAATCCTGTTGATTTATAATGTTATATCATGCTAACATACTATCATAGTCAGACTGAAGACTGTCTGTTTCCACAGTAAGAGAGACTTCTGAGCCCTATTGGACTGATTTTCATAGTGATAAAGAATCCTGAGCTCTCTGGGAATAAGCCCAATATGAACCCCTGATGACAGAGAGAAATATTCTGACAGGTGTTAAGGATATGGGGCAGATATCTTTATAATGCATTTGGCATTGAAGGCTATACTATTAGTTAAACACACTGAAACATGACCTCACAAACATGACAAAAGTGCTTTCCCACATTTTGACCTTAAAACTTCTTCTGCACTAGCCTCTCCCCTCAAAGCAAAACAGTCCTTCAAAGAGTGTTGACCAGCTTAAACTTTGAGAACAGCTGACAACAGTTAAACAAACCCTACTTTTGACCTCAAATTCCCATGTATATCATCCGATCTGGCCAGGCATGACCTAATCACTCACTCAGATCTGTCATTACAATCACTAAACTGGTGAAATGAACAAACAAGCCTCACTCACTGGGTCAGTCTACTGAGGAAGACCAGAGTGACTGGTTGAAAGCTCTAGGTGAGAGAACTTCTTTGTATTGGATCTTAGTTTTAACTTTAAACCTTGACCAAAGTAGGAAAGTTTAGACCCTACCCGTTTCTTCTTGCCCCAAAGTATCCAAACTGACCAAAGTTTTCAAGAAAAAGCATTTTTAAAGATATTAAATTATATAGACTTTGTTCCCATTCTGGGACCTTTACTGCACAACCCAATGGTGATGTCAGACCAGACCTACAGCAAAGACTTGGCTGAAGGGTTAAAGTTTCGTCAATTTGGATGTAAGTTTCCCTACCTGTCTAGTCTGTCCTGTAATGTTTCCAGTCGTTCTTCTCTCAGACTGCCTCCAAACAGCTCCCCAACCTCAGGTACCAAAAGGTCAAATGCTGCAACCTGTAAAATTACAACGCCAATAACATCCACTCAATTCTTTTGTTTAAACCAAGGAGGTTCATCTTTAAACCTTCTTTTACGAAAAAAGAGCTTGGATGCTTTTAACATTGGGAAATGAGTAGTTTATAATTATAGTTTATATAATCATCATCATTTTGCAGCACAGATTTTTCAATCTATGGAAGGTTTTAGGTAGTTTGGAAAGAAAAGAAGTATGTGACATGGTTTTTTTTTTGTAATAAGTCTAAAATTGATTATTGACAGAGTTTTTTTTACTTGAACCTAAACATTTTAAACATTTTTAAACAAGTCCAGAACTGGCCAAGCGAACTGGTACGCAGCACTAGGTGTCCCCATTTCTAAGTGTATGCTAGTGAGTCCAATTTGCTTTTGGGAACAGGCTTCTAGGAAAGCATTAAGTATGCAATTATAATGGAGCTCCTGGGACTGAGAAACCTAATTTCTTACATTGACCTAAAAATCTATTCTTGGTGACTCAGCTAATTATCAATACCAGACTCAGCAATTGTCAATCAACATCAAAATGCCTGGCAATTAATTGAATCAAGTACCCCTGAACCATGTAATTTCACAAATACTTTTTGGTAGTCATACAGTGTATCTATCAGTGTTTCTACCTTGAACCTGAGTAGTTAAAGAACAAAACAACTTTTCACACAACAAAAGGCATTGAAAACATATCAGGTGCATGAATAATTTTGTTGTAAACTCTTGACCTAAAAAAAAAGTAGCACCTACAGTTTTATCATCATCGTTGTCTCTAGCATAGAAGGGCTTGAGATCCCTGGGGAAATCTGTCACAAACACAGGTACACCTCCACAGTGCCTCACTAGGTGGCGCTCGTGTTCTTTCTGCAGGTCACGACCCCACTGGAAAGTGAGAACCACGATTATGCTCTACTGTAAATTGTGAAACTTTTGCTGTGGTTTAATGCTGTGTCATTGTGCATTTATTGGTATGAGTACTACATGTAGCAGAAATGAGTGGTTGAAAGACCATTACAATACAGTGTACTAAATGTAACTGGTAAACAGGTTGTTGGAATAAAATGAAAGCAATTGTTTATCAGAAACAAACTTGTAAAATGTCCTTGGCTTTAACCTTCCCCGGCTGCCTGACCCCGGCCATAACCAATTACAGTCAAACCTGTCAATTAAGGTGACCACTTCTTCAAGCTGGCCACCTGGTCAAGGTGACCACTTTTTCTCAGTCCTGAAAATTTTGCCCATTGATGCAAGCATTAAGCAACCTTCACCAAGGTGACCACCTGGCCAACCGCTCAAGGCCTGATACCTGCCCATGGTGACCACGTCATTTTTGATCATGATGATTATTGATTATTGATGATAACTAATGAGAAATTGCGGAGAAACCAGCCAGTTTGCCTCGACTGCTGGACAATGTTTTTTGTTTAAAGTAAATTGTCCAACAGTGCCACCCTCCCCACATGCATTCACCACAGAACTGAAGATGCTTACAGCATTTGACATTAAAACATGTCGACTTAGAAACCATTTATGTCTGAGTCATGTTGTGAGGCAACCCTCTTCAATGTGACCACCTGTGCAAGGTGACCGATTTTCTCCGCTCCCCTGGGTGCAAATTGCCACACTATACTGATCAGCAACAAGTGTCTCATCATTTGTAGCAAGCAGCTCAAATTCTACCTACTGCAGCTCAACAACGCATCACTTTGGCAGTGATTAATCTGAGGCAGCGCTCAACTGGCAGAGGTTTAAAACAGCGCCGTCATAAATAACCTTGAAACTTGAAAAGATTCAATGAATAAAGCTTCCCCAAAGCTCCCTCACCATTCCCTTCTCACGTAATGAATTCTCGCTCCAGTGAGCCAGTCTAATCTCCTGTATGTGCTGGAGATGAGACAAGGTCAACAGTAATGAGATAGCAGAGAGATTCTCAGAAATGATTGGTGTCATCGGGGACATGTGGGGAGAGGAATTCACGGTGTCTATCTCAGGTTGGTGCCGGTAGAGAAGCCGCTCAATCATAAATATGTCTGAGGGTTGGAGGAGGCTGTTAATCAAAGACTGTTGTCAGCTCAAAACTTCTCCTGCCAAGTATCTATCTCTTGTTGTCAAGGATGCCACTACAGTGGTGGTGAGGTGGTTTTGTGGTTAGGGTTCTTGAATCTGAAGGTTCAGGGTTCGATTCCCTGTTAGGCCCCAGTGTTGTGTCCTTGGGAAAGGCACTTTACACCTATTTCTTCACTCGACTGAAGTGAAATGAGTACCTAGCATTGGTTAGGGATGTCCTTTCAAATAAGACGTGAATCTTCACTGCATATTAATGACACAGCACTTCCATTATACTATGTCATGTATTGTACAACAGAATTGTTTCAACACCAAACACAATACTCCTTTCTTCTTTTACCATACGTCCAAGTCCCAATGAAAATACTAATGAATTTATAGTACAACCCCTACATGTACCTGTATGCATGTCTAGTCAGTCTGTCTCCTTCTCTCAGTCTCAGTCTTTGAACAGGAGAATAAGAAGAGTCTTTGTTTGAGCCTGACATAATTAAAGCAAGGCCTGGGGGAATATCACTTATATTGTGGCAAATAGAGAGATATGCAAACGTATCTTTGGGTTGTTTTTACTTCATCTACTCTCAAAGAAAGAACAGGATCTGCCAAAAAAACTGCAAATAAAGTGAAAGGCAATATTTGCAAAACAAAGGCATAATGTTTAACTTCACACGGTCTAGCCTAACAAACTACATTATATATGCACATGCTCTATATATTCTTCCTCACTCAAATGCATTCATATATATAACTTATATATATAGTATCTTAGCCCCTCCAACTTGCTACATAACCCAACACCACAGGGTGTCTGCTACAGCACTAGTTACCATGGTGATGAAAGCATTTCTTCCCTGCATCCTTGCTGAGAAAGATTTCTTAAAATATTGATGTAACTTCAACAGTCTAAACAAAATCTATTCTGAATTTGTGACCATCCCCCCTAAGCAGATTGCATGCCGTGCATATCTTTTAATAGGGTTGGAATATTGGATTAAGCTAGGTCACAGCAGAGCATCGTTTCAATCACTGTAGGACTTACTGGGATTCACAATTAAATTACTGTCTTATAGATATCATCAAGACATCATCCTGCGATAAATGAGGGATTTAAGGGGT